TCCAGAAACATACCATCTGGTTCTCGGAGTTTTATACTCTCCGGTCTTCTACCTTTTAAGGAATATCTGATTTTTATAAAGGCGGCAACTGTAAAAGGCTGGGGTCCTTCTACGTCAGTCCGTCACTGGACACTGTCAGCCCGTAAGTATTGCGATGGTTCATTCGGTTTCTGTCGAAAAATTATTGCTTTGACGTCTCTAGCTTTGAACTTCTTAAACTGAGAGCTCTTATTTATAAGTCGAGGTTTTCCTTATCGCTTTTCTAAGTTCAATCTACCATCAATCGGAACTAACAGAACAGGGGAGAGTGAACTACATACTGACGAATCCATCCTGATGGAATAAGGCTTGTTAAAAGAACAACATTACCTTCTTCTAAACATGCTTATTTGCATTGTTACAATTGTTACACTCGAAAGGACTTTCACTGGGGGACAGGCCTTAGGCCTAGTTTAGTTCATGTCAGCTTTTCAGTTTCCATGCTATTTCTCCAACATAGCACCGTCCGGGGGTCCTACAAAGGCATTCGTAAAAGGGATCGGTCCAACTGGTTTAGAAGTTACGTGGTCTCCACCGGAAGTAGAGAAAAGGAACGGAATCATCGTAGCCTATCGTTTGTGTTCAAAGGAGATCAGCGATACCAAGCCATGTCATAATACTGTTGTTGTCGGTGGGAGCAAGGGGCTGTTACTTATAGCTGGGTTGAAACCTTATAGATGGTACACTGTAAGCGTGGAGGCAAGCACCACTGGGGGATACGGTCCCCCCACCAGGGTTCGTCATAGAACAGGGGAGTGGGGTGAGTCTTGCATTGGGTGATTTGGTTTCAAGTTTCCTCCTAAAATAATCAGTATGAGTTTTTGGGTAGTACATTTCCAGAGGAAACGGTTTTTGAGACTAGTATGCCCTGGTTGAAATTGCTTTTTCGTAGTTCCATCGGGTACTCCAAGCGAAATTTCAGTTACAGCTTTCAACTATACTTCTATAACTGTTTCATGGAAAAGCCCTGACGAAAGCGAGACGAACGGTGTACTAACATCGTATGCAATTGATGTTTACGAAACAGCTAGATAGCGGGTATCTCAAATGTTTTCAAATGTGACAGTATCAAATGCAGTTCTCTCCTGGACTTGCAGTAATTTAAAGGCAAAGACGGAGTATATTATTGAAGTAAAAGCAGGAACTGTCGTTGGCTTTGGGCCGCCTAGTGTTGTTCACCAAAAGACGTCAGGAAAAGGTAACCAAATGAACTAATGGGTGGCGGGTGACCTCGCTCTGTGGCACTTGTAGGAAAGGTTATGAACACGATGCCTCTTACCTTTTAATTCGGCCAGCCATAAATACAGATAGGGCGAGAAATTAAATTCATGTTTTACTTAGGCAGGGAATCATGGTTTAAATTAGTTAGTTCTTTCATCAAAAGTTTTTCTCGTGTCCTGTGATTTTCATTCCTCGCTGAAATCAAAACCTACTTGGGCAAAACTTTCTTTGATGGTAAACACATGCAAGAGACCCGTGAAAGACAATTTTTTTTTTGTTTCAGCCGATGTGAAGTATGTAAAGAAGTCAAACAAAGCATGTAAGTGTAGTTTACAAGCCGTTGTTTAAAAGCGAATCCGAGTTTTATCATCATGAATTGCTATTCTCGGTTTCAGATATAGCGTTAGCAAAAGCGGGAATCGCTGCGGGAGTTCTGAGTTTTTTGGGTGTCGTTGGATTTTTCGTTTTCATATCATTGCTTGTGACAGGTTATGTTCCTTATACAAGGTAAGCGGACTTCCTTCTCCATATAAATACCCACGCTTGTCAGAATTCCCTGATCTCTCTGCCAACACTCCAAACAAACGTTTGTTATTTTCAGCCCCTGGAGAAAGCGTCGACGGGAGGTATGGCGAAAGAAAGCGATGAGACGGAATGAAGAAAGAGAAATACGTTCAAGGTTTTTACCAAATTTTGTCTAGTCTTTACAGCTGTAGTGCAAGTTTTTGTATCGATCAAAATTTTGCTTAGTATTTCGTTAAGAATATGGCGGTGAAACTGAATTTCCTGTGCTAGGCAGATGTGAATAACGACATACTTGAATGCGGCGTTCTTGAAACACTCTAAAATACCAGTAATCTGTCTGTACCGAAATACAACAGGACCGCTCTGGCCGTTTTTACCGTATAAAGGAAAACGCCCCTGGAATCCACTTCACTTCTATAACTACAGGTTCATCACCGTCGACTGCATTAAGAAATTATTTTGTTCCGCCTTTTAGTGATTCAGAGGAATCCGATTTTAACTCAAGTATACGTAATTCTAGTGAGCGTGGATCAAGCGATGATGACTCAGGTTAGACGTGGAAACGATTTTGAACGGCAAAAATCTAACCATTTGTAATAATTTTACTCTGTTTAGTGCTCGTGATTGTGATAAACTGTAAATTCCTTAATTTTGTTTCCCAGACGGCAGGCCATCACAAAAGAGAACCGGGAAACAGGAGGGATCAGGAAGGAAAGGCAGGACAGCTAAGGACGACAGCTATTCCGAATCCATATATAACCCCGGCCATATATCTGTATCCTTACCCAACCCTGAGCAGGGGGAAATTTACGGCCAAGTTTTACTGAATGCTTATGCAAAGAGTTTAATGGATATGCAATCCATCTATGGTGGAAGCACATACGGCACTCGTCCCGTAGAAAATATATACGGTAACCGATCGGTAGTTAACATTCCCCCACCGGGGAACATATACGGAGGTAATAATCTCCTGCCAGAAAACATATACGGTAACCGATCTGTAGTTAACATTCCCTCACCGGGGAACATATACGGAGGAGGTAATAATCTCGTGCCAGAAAACATATACGGTAATCTATCCGTGGGTAATTTTGTCCCACCGGAGGACATATACGGAGGTAATAATCTCGTGCCAGAAAGCATATACGGAAATCTATCTATGGGTAATTTTGTCCCACCGGAAAACATATACGGCGATCTATCGGTCGGCACTATTAACCGACCAGGTGATAGGCAGAATAGCTGCGCGGTGATGCCAGAGGAAATTTATGGACCAAATGTCAATACCCTAAGTGTACACAACTATCCCAGCAGTGTGACCTCAGAGAATCTTTATGGTACACATTAGTGATCATAATCTTCGATATTATTGATAACAATATTCCGAATTTTATATACTGTAACTAAAACTTGTAAACTCAAGATTCGATGAAAATAAAAATCACTTTTTCTTAAACGAGCGATATCGATCAAAACTGATTAATACATTCGGTATTACAGAGTATAAAAGCATTTGAAATTTAGTAAGATAGTTTATATCCACGATCCCCGCATCGCTTCGAGATGTGAATTTTCTAAATTGCGTCAGTGTCTAAGTGCAGAACAATGACCAACAAAGACCGGCTAGACAAGTTATAATTTTAGAAATAATAACTCCTAATTAGAGTTAAAAGTGCGTCTGCAGTGTTGAAGGTAGTATCGATGGATAAAATAGGAACACGCAATATACATATAGGCAAATATTTCATCAAGGGCATTGCTTGTGTCGTTTTTTGACTGCATGGAGAGTAGACAGGGTTATTCGTTACTATTAGAGTTCGTCTACCAAATGATGCATACAGAAACTATATTCAGTATATATTATCTGTGAGTGCACAGAAATACAATTTTTCCTGGAATGTGTAACCTATTATCTCGAAGACATGACCATATAAGATCAAATATGTAGAGAGAGTTACAATATAGACTCTTCAAACGCGGAAACTCTAACTAATATCATTATTATGGATACACTCAGCTGCCAATCAAACTTCGGGGAGAACATGTATTGACGTCATTACTGACTTTGCAACCATACTCCAGCACCCGTTTCCATGACAAGGGGAATTTGCTTAGCTTGTGGTTGAGAAGCCTGCAATTGCGACAGTTTCGGATCAATATCATAGAATTGTAATTAACAAGCAGGGATGAAGAGATCCAGCAATCCTGATGAAAAGTTTGTCAGTGGATCGACAAGGTTCTTCGAAAAAATGTCAGGTTGCGTTTATAAGAAAAGATTTGAAGCATTGAAATTGTCGTTTGAAGTCCTAAATGCAGAAAACAGACAAGTTAAAGACGAAAACATTGACTTAAAAGTATGTGTTAGCCGTTTACACGAGCGGAAGACGTTTTTAGAAAATGAAATCATGAGATTAGCTGGAGTTTTGGAAGCTCAGAAAAGTGCAATGGGTAACTACGTTTTTCATCTTTAAACTAAAGTAGAAAACATAGCTTGCGAGGTTTGAGCAAAGGTCTGGACCATCATCTCTGATGATTCTTGGATGTTTCCCAAAGAGGCTTTTTGTGACGCAAAGGTGACATGCGTGTCGAGCCTAACTCCATTTTATAAGCACACTGCATGGGCACACTTGTAAATAGCTACTTGTTACGACAATGATCTTGGAAGTTTGGAACAAAGTTGATATATCTATCACCTGATATGCGCTACACGTAATGTACAGTCTATTTTAAATGCACTCACGACCGTGTCTATTTCAGATGCACTCACAACAGTCTTTTGATCTTTATTCAGTGTCACTGTGTTATAACATTTTATAACTTTAACTTGCAACAATAACTTCTTATAATTGCAACTATATACATGATGAAACTACCTGATTGCAACATATGCTGGGCCTCCAGACCAGAAGGCTGAGACACATTCCATTTGAATTACGCTTATTTCAAAATACTTCGACGTCATGTGATTGTGTGAATTCTATTTCAAAACAAAGAACTTAGACGTTACCTCGATATTTGTTACAGCTTCTTCGAAGATGCGTGGGTTGATTGACGCAAGCAGACAGACACGGCTGGAAGAACAACTTGAAGCAACGAGATGTCAGCTGCTTCTTTACAAGGGGAGTTTTGAAAGGGAGAGAAAGTCTTGCGAAGAATTGAGGAAAGAGATGAAAATGAGTGAGAAGAAGCTTGAAGATGCCGAGAAAGATATCAAAAGTTTGACCTCACAACTTGTTGCAGACAGAGAAGGGGAAATCCAAATTGGATTCTCTGGTAACCGTGGGCGTGTTTCTACTTCCGTGAATAGTGTTCGATTCATTCAGCCATGCCACCCTGATGATGAACTTTGGCAGTTGGAACAACCCTGAGATTTCACCTCCCCCGGAGTTAAAAGCCAATTGAAGCAGTTTTACGGGGGGGAAATAGATATCTATTATCGTCACGAACTTGCTTTGACTTTTTGTCTCTTGATAATAGATGTGTCAGTTGAAATTTGCATAGTTTTAGATTTTTTTATTTTCTTCTAATATTCTTTATATTGTTCGCACTTCGTGTAACCAGTAATTACGAGGATTGGCAACTTCGTTCTCAAGCTCTCTGTAAATATTCGTTGATGTCTTGCATTTGTAACATGGTTATTTTGCAAATTTTTACACTCGAAAGGGACTTTTACTGGGGGGGGGGGCAGGCCCTAGGCCTGGTTTAGTTCATGTCCAACATAGCACCGTCCGGGGGTTCTACAAAGGCATTTGTAAAAGGGATCGGTCACAGCACATACGGCACTCGTCCCGTGGAAAATATATATGGTAACCGATCGGTAGTTAACATTCCCCCGCCGGGGAACATATACGTAGGAGGTAATAATCTCGTGCCAGAAAACATATACGGTAACCGATCCGTGGGCAATTTTGTCCCACCGGAAAACATATATCGATCGGCACTATTAACCGACCAGGTGATAGGCAGAATAGTTGCGCGGGATGCGCGATGATGCCAGAGGAAATTTATGGACCAAATGTCAATACCCCAAGTGTACACAACTATCCCTGCGGTGTGACGTCAGATAACAATTGATAACAATATTCCGAAATATTTCATATACTTTAACTAAAACTTGTAAACTCGAGATTCGATGAAGATAAAAACCAGCCTTTCTTAAACGAGAGATATCGATCAAAACTGGTGAAATACATCCGGCGGTATTATAGTGTGTGAAAGCATTTGAAATACATGTATTTATTATTAAATAATAAAGGAAGTTAATGTTATACGGGTCTTCGTATCGTAGTGTCGCGGGTCCTAGGACGCTTGTCCGGTCGGCTACTTGCCCCCTCCGGTGAGTACAAATATGAGCCCAGTTTGCCTGATCGAGTTGTTAGTTGCTTGCGTGACCCATCCCGCCCCTTTCCCTAACGACTTCACGCGATGTTGTGAACTCTACGGGAGAAGCGTCTTATTAATCTCGCTGGGGTTTGTTTTTTTTTTTGTTAGTTTGTTTTGCAGGATTAAGCACAGTTCTTTTCACACCCGTTTTGGTCGTGGAATGGGTGTTTGGGGTAAAGGTAAATTCATTAATGATCGCCACATTTACAGGTATTTTTTTTTTTTGTTTTGTGTGTGTGTGTGTGTACTTTGATGTTCGTATCGTTTATTCCACGGTTTCACTTCAGTGACTCACGTGTGACAGTTGATCACGGGATGGAGGAGGTACCGTTAAAATAGCATGGTTCGTTGAGTTATTATCTGCGCCGAAAACAGCAAACTCAAAAGAAACACCGTTTCACCCCTAGCCCGACCGTTTCGCTCGGATACCGTCTCCATCCCTACCGATCGGCAGCGGGCAAAAATATAGTGTAAGAGCTGGTGTGCTATCGTACTGATGTGAGCCTTAGGATCCGTTAGAACGTTAATGTAGTATATATATCCAAAAAATGACATACGCTAAACTGAATCACATCGAATCACTTTGGCAGACGTTAATTTGCTACGTAAGTGATACGTGAGTAGATTTATGACATCGCTTGGAATAAATATATCGCTGATACATGGTGTGCTGTTGACTAAGGAGATTCGTGACCACGTGTTCGAAGTTCTGAAGTTGGAAGCGTCTAGAAATTTCCTGCATATTTTATTTGCATAAATTACCAGGTAGTGTCGACAGCCGAATTTATTATTGGCATTGTCTCAGGGCGATTAACACGATTGTACCAGTGAACAAATGTTTATCAACAATGAATATGAAAGGTTACTGCATGTACTTGAAAGGTCATCTTTGTCAGTACCTTTTCCGTGACTCGTGTGAGAAACAATTTAAACACATGTCAGAATTAATTTTCAGGCCTCACTGAAATTTGCTTAGATTGTAGGAAGGCTGGATTTTGGACAGCTCAGGATTAATACCATATTATTATAGCTATCAATAGGGATGAAGAGGTCCAGCAGTCCTGATGAAAACTTAGTCTGTCGATCGGCAGAGGTCATCGAAAAAATGACAAAAATGATTTGCGATTTGAGCAAAGAAAACGAGCGACTTCGTGGAGAATTACGTGATAAGGCCAGTTTGTCATCGACTCCAGAGCCGACCGGAGAAGGTTGTTTATATCAGAGAAGATTTGAAGCATTGAAGTTGTTGTTTGACGACCTAAATGCAGAAAACAGACAAGTTAAAGACGAAAGCGTTGATTTAAAAGTGTGTGTTAGCCGTTTACAGGAACGGAAGGCGTTTTTAGAAAATGAAATCATGAGATTGGCTGGAGTTGTGGAAGCTCAGAAAAGTGCAATGGGTAACTACTTTTTTCCATTGAACTTAGTTAGAACTTTATAGAACTATAACTTCGTATAGTTGCAACTATATTAAAAACCCCCAATGAAGGCAACAACGCTCATTTTAAAACGCGACGGCGTGAATTTCATTTGAAAACTTAGCAGCTGTTCACATGAGTCCGGTTACGGAGATTTAATTAACACAGCGTAAAATGGACCCATTGAAATGACTAAAACAATTCTGGAGACAAAACATGCTATTGTTAGGATGATTATCACACGATAACACGACTACCACTCAGTTTACTGTAGAAGCGCGTTATTTGTTCATTTCATTACCTCAAAGTCCCCTTAGACAATATTTAATTATTTGTTACAGACTCTTTGGAACGGCGTGGGCTGATCCACGCAACCAGATTTACTCAACAAACTCCTGTTACCCGTGCTTCCACCTCTGCGAATAATGTTCGATTCATTAAGCCATGCCATCCTGATGATGAACTTTGGCAGTTGCAACAACATTGAGTCATTCAGAGTTTTCCTGCCCCGGATTTAATAGCCAATAAAGCTGTTTTACGGAGGGGAAGTGACGTATAGCTATTATCATGACGAACTTTAAGTTTTTGTCTCGTAATAGATATGCTAGATAAAATTTGTATAGTTTTAGATTTTTTTTATCTTTTTGTGGTATGCTTCATATTGTTCGTACTTCGTGTAACCAGTGGACATCCTGCTGCCCCATCAAAATAAGAACCACTCTTACCCAAATAACAATTCAGAAGTAATAAAAGTAATAAATCACTTTGGTTAAATTTTGTTGTAAAATTGTATTTATGTAAGTGTCCATTGGCGTTGAAATCGACGGTAAAACGTGAAAGGACCTGGGCCCGATATTCAAAATGGTGGTGTTTTCAAATAAAAAATTGCACATCGACTGTTTATTTTATACTTTTTCTTTGTATTTTGTCTAAATTTTCGATGCAAGAACCACTAAGCGCTTCCTAAAGTGTTCATCTTCAATTTAAATATGATTCGAAATCGTGTTGAAGATTTCAGCGCTCAAAAACAGATCCCAAGAGTTGGACAGGAAGCAATGTTCTTGGTATGAATATAGTAAACTACGATCTTCGATCACCGTTAATCGCGAATGTTGTGTAATTTATTGGTACGGTGATTTAAAGATTTTTTACTTTCAGGATCAAATCCATATATCTTTGCAAAAACCTATTCCTGAACGATGCGAAGATGTCAGAAGAATGAAACAGGAATGGAATATCAAGGTATCAGATCATTCAAATGTCAAAATACTCCTGGTTTTTATTAATATAACGGCATCGAAGCAATCTGGCAAAAAGCAGTTCATTAGAATTTTACTTACAAATAATATGTTAATGTTGCTTGTAGGCACCAACCCCTCGCCTTTGGAAAAGCCCTTGCCCTTTATAAGCCCAACCTATGAAAGCCACACCTATTTTAAGTACACTTCCTCGTATCTCCCCTTACCCACTTATCACCCCAAAGTAGCCCCTCATCTTATATATGCCCTGTTCTTCAACTCTGCTGAAGACCTTTTCTATAAGTACTCCCCAAAGGCTTTCCTTCCCCTTGTTCAAACTATAACAGCTTCGTATCTGAAGTTCTCCCTTATACAATGCCCCCACTCTAAAGTTCTCTGAGGTCCCTCCTTTATCATGGCTCCCACTTTGAACCTCCCCTCCAAAAAGAGAGTCTCTTTCTCTAAACATCTCTTTCAATTTAGGCCCGGCAACCCCCTGACTATATACCATTGACCCTGAAAACTCCCCAATTAGAACCTATAGAACCTACACCCCTATGTAGGACCTCAATGGGGTGTCTATGCCCAGGGGGAAATATGATACAGAACCATATTTTAGATATGATATCTTTATTCTTCAGGATCTCCATGTATTATACCCCCATCTTCTTGCAAGTATTTTCAGCGTGACTGCGGGGAAAGGCTGGGCTCTACACACCTCACAGGCCCACACGGACAGACTGGACGCGATGCGAATTTTCAACTTTTTTATTTTCCAAAAGCAAATAATTGGAGATTACTTAACGATAATACATTTTGACTGCTCTGGCGTCCATAAATTCCAAAATTTGCTTCCAGAATTTAATTTATATGCTTCTGAAACGCAAAATTCGCGTCGCGTTGCCGCATCGCGTCCGGTCTGTGTCGACCTTTAGCTAAGATCGAAGAAGATCAATATCAAAGCTTGGTCACGCAATTCTAATTAACCTTACATAATCACCGCTTTAGTTACGTTTTTGACCTGGGCGGATTATTTGTAAAACTGACAGATTTCTCCAAAATATTACCACATGCTTATCCCTCGTTCACATCTATCAGACGAATTAAATCGTATTGGAAATTGCTCAGAAAATTACAAGTGCATGTCAACAGGTCTTAAGATTTTTCAAGTGCAAGTGCATGTAAACAGGTCTTTTATTATAATGAACAAGCTGGAACGTGTTCATAAGTACAGTATTGTTCTTATCACTCCACACAATGTCCGCCAAAATCAAGGCATTGTACAAGGTTATTCGAGCAAAAAAATGTTTTAACAAATTTGCGCCAACGGCTAAACACGTTTTATTTTAAACAGATTTTAAACTGAAGGTCTTGCGACGCTATTTTTCTTTTATAGGTGCTGTGGAATATTTTCTCTATCAGTTTGCGTATTTCATAACGCTAAGTAGCTCACCTTGGGTGAGTTCACGGTCATGCTTGGAAGTTGGAATAGTTCTTATGCTTCTAAATGCGAGTTTCATTAACTCTCATTGAAGAGTTTGAAATCAATGTTTCTTTATTTCTTCACAGGACAGCACCAGGGCGGCTGACCGAGGCCATGACACAATCTACACGGCCTTGTTCTCAGAATTCTTGGAGTATTTTCTTCCAACGCAATCCATAACATTGTCAGCACATTCGTCTGGAAATAGATCACAGCAGGAGCCGAAATTAACGCCAAGGAAGTACTTGTAAGTGCAATCAGAATATACACAAGTACATAGATGACGACGCTTGATTAGTTTTTCGGAACTAAGAAATATTTGAGAACGTTAATCTATTAATGCAACAGACCTTTTGCATCATAGACCATTTTTTTTATCTATGCATGAAAATGCAATTCAATTACCACAGCTAAAAATAGCGTAGTATTAAGCATTAGTAGCAACGCAAAGTTTGGTTGCGAAATTCGCGCGAGAAATATCGCTAGTGGAAAACCAGCTTAATGGAAAAGGTCTATTATTTCGAAGCCGTTTTAAAACGTTAATACATGGCTTTTATGATTGTGTTTCACTTGGTCAAACCGGCCGTTCAGTTCATCTAACTGAACTATCGTAGGAATCTAGAATAACCGCGCGATTTTTCATACCTCAGTCTGTTTCGTGCTCGTTAGTATAAGCGAACAAGTACAGAAATAAACATTTTATTAAAGACGACTGCAAGCATAATAATAATCATCCTAAATCTACAACATGACTTATATACATATTTACTTAATTTACATACAGTCTAACATCTCTTCATTATCATACCATTAGCGTAAACTGTCTTTTGTCCATTACACACACAATAATAATAATAATAATAATAAAATGTATTTCTATTGCGCATATTCATAAAATGTTCTATGCGCATTACATTAAAATAATACATAGTTACAATATTTTAATTACTTAAATTAGAAATATACACAATATAAAACATAGAATATACATAGAGGTTAAAATAGAAAATTATCTAATTTTCAGTGAAAGCTTTCTTAAATAAGTATGTTTTAAGTTCTGATTTAAAATGAGAAAGCTGTTCTATGTCCCTAATTTTGGCTGGAAGGCTGTTCCATAATGTTGGTGCAGCAACCGTGAACGATCGGTCGCCAAGCGTTTTCTTTGATTTGCCCCGAGGATATGATAATAAGAGGCCATTATTAGACGTACGTAAATTATAGCGACCAGGAGTAGTGATTTTGATAAGTTCCGATAGATACAATGGAGCCAGCTGATGAAGAACTTTAAATGTGAGGAGTAATATCTTGAACATGATCCTCATTTTAACAGGTAACCAATGTAGGTCTTGCAAAAGCGGTGTAATTTGACATTGTTTTGGTGCTTGATAAACCAGACGAGCACATGCATTCTGTATACGTTGAAGCTTTGCAGTAAGGGTATCAGGAAGTCCATACATGAGGCTATTACAGTAGTCCAATCTACATGTCACAAAGGCATGTATAAGTGTTTCGGTGTGGCTTTTGCTCAGAAATTTCCTAATTCGTCTGATGTTATAAAGATGATAAAAGGCAGCACTAGAGATCTTAGTAACATGAGTGTCCATTCTAAGCATTGGGTCGAGCCACACACCTAGATCTCTGACAACATCAACTGGTGTAATTTCTGCATTGCAAATATTCACTGTACTAATTCGAACCTTCTTTAGCTGCTGAGATGTGCCGACTAAAACAATTTCAGTTTTTCCGTCATTAAACATTAGCTTGTCACGAGTCATCCATAAATGTAAATCATCAATACATTGCTGGATGGCAAGAATAGCTGCTTCTTGATCATTAACACTATTAGGATTAAACGATATATACAACTGGAAGTCGTCCGCATATGCGTGTACATCAGGGAGATGACGCTCGATTATGTCAAATAGGTCACCAGCATAAAGAGTAAACAGCACGGGCCAAGGCATGACAACTAATCCCGTAACAAGTCAATGGCAACAATATATATTATTTAAGGGATAAGGGATTTTCCCTCTCTTATCACGTGAGGTGTGGGCGTACAACACTGAGTACAAGTGTACAAAACTAGCCTACCATGCATAGTATAGCAAAGTAATATAGTGTTATGACAAAAAAGCGCGAATGAAATGGAAAATAAGCCCGTTGACGGCACTCGCTCGAAATCAGATCGAAATCTTGATATCAGCGAATACAAGAAAAGATACGAAGAGTTGGTGGAGATTAACCATGCATGGAAACAACAATACGAACGGTTGAAAATCCAATATGAAGCGCTTGCTGAGAAACATAGAGGAATCGAAAGCGAAAACGGTGACTTAAAAATGCGTAACAATCAACTAGAGTTGCAAGGAATATCATTGGAAAATGAAAAAAAGGAGACAGTTGAAGCTTTGAAAGCACAACAACAAGAAAAAGGTAAATGCCAAGCTCATTTTAATTTTTTATTTTATTTTTGAATAGCCCTGCCTCACGTAAGGTTTAAAGCATCGTATCCCAAACACCCAGCAATCCTGGTCAAAACATTGACGACACTCTGTGTTATTTCACACTACAGTCAGCAGTCGCGGGATTTATTTCAAAATTATACCCCCTTTCCTCACAAAAACCATGACCAGCCGACAATTTAAAAGAGTAAAGTAAAAAAAATTCCGAATAAACAAGACATCTTGAGAGTCAAAATATGAATCAAGCAAGACCCAGGTTAAAACTGTAAATATTTGACTTTATTTCAAAGTCAGATGACTTTGAGGTCATAGAGAATGAAATACTTTACAACACACATATATATATATATATATATACAACGCAGAGAGAGAGCACGCGTGTGTTAATCCATTGTTTTAAATATAGCATTCGTAACATCAAGTTTCGCTTTGCTATCCTGACCTTCCGGGATACCGGATTAACACACACGCGCTGAATCAACGTTTAGTGATGTGTCATAACTCATTCCAGAACAGCATAGTTTCAACATTTCAACATTGATTAGGGGGAGGGGGAGGGCCGAAGGAGGGAACGAAACAGAAATATTTGTTTTGTTTTAGTTTATAACTGAAGCTGACTGTAACTGAAGCTGATTTCAGCTTGAGAATGACCTACAGTAGCATTTCGCAACATTCAAAACGTAGGCACATATTTGTTTGGCTGGACTGCGTTGCATTACATAATATGAACAGTCCGACATTGTTCTTAAGCCCTAAATACACGGGCTAAAGCCTGTTTGTCATTTGAGACGTCGAAGTCGGGTCGAACTTTTCATATGCCGAACTTTTCTAAAGTCTTTAAGTTCTAAAGTGTTCACGTTCATTTGCAATCGAATGCAACGTTCACGTTCAACGTTCACAAATTCACGTTCGAATGCATGCATTCGATTCGGCACATGAAAAGTTCGATGTCTGAAATGGGCCTCAATTCCGGAATTAATTTCTTCAAGTGGTCGAAATTGAAAAAAAAAGACGAAATATTTCCGGCATTTCGCAGCGAAAAAGCGACTGGAATTAGGCCCTTATCACTAGTGTTGCAACTAATCGATTTCTCTGTTACAGCTTCTTTGAAACTTAATGCCGTGATCGACGCAAGCAGACAGACACAGCTGGAAGAACAACGTGAAGCAATGAGATGCCAGTTGCTTCTTTACAAGGGGAACTTTAAAAGTGAAAGAAAATCTTGCGAAGAATTAAGAAAAGAGATGGCAAAGGCTGGGAAGAAACTTCAGGATGCTAAAGAAAAAATCAAAAGGTTGACTTCACAACTTGCTGCCGCCAGAGAGGATCACGGAGGGAGCGAAAGTGGAAACCTTGATGAACGTGGTCTCACCCCCCTGCACCAGATTCAATTCATTCACTCGTACCATCCAGCTGATGAAATCTGGCAGTTGGAGCAACAAGGAAGGGCATCCCTCCCCCGGATTGGGAGGCAAACGTCGTTCCTTTACGGAGGGCGTGTAAAAGTTTATCATCATGAAGAGCTTTGAGTCTTTCTCTTTGGTTTTGAAGGACTTTTGGTTGATGGAGTAAATTTGATGTTCAATATAGAGAAAAGAAACATGTAGTTTGCCACAACGTGCAGTTTGTTTGTTAGAAACATGTAGTTTGTCGTTTACAGGAAAGGACTTTGTTATTGTAATTCTTCATCAATTATAAGGATTTGTACTTAAAAACTTCAGTAATATCGTCATGTAACAGCACTAAAATTGTCAACATTAAAAACGTTTTGCTAACTTGAAAAGGATTTAAAGAGTATGTTTACTGTAGGCTATAATCTAAAAGTAATATGAAAATAAAGTGATTTCTCACGGTACGCATAGGAGAAAACGTCCCTTCATTCGAAGCTATTTTTTTTAAGATACTTGCTACTTTTGTCATTAAACAATTACTTAATAGTTTCCGTGTTTGGATGGCCTGATCTAAACACGCGGGAATGTTTCGAGATTTAAGAAAAGCGCGCGAAATGTCCATGAGAAAAGTCTAGTGGAAATAATTTCTTCACTCCTTATCACGATATGCGTAAAATATACTTCAAAATTGATATAATAAAGTTTGTCTATTCATGTACATAGATTTGTATATTTGGGGTCTGAAATCACATTGTTTCCGAGACGGTGTTTCCTATAGTTTTTCCAGAATGCACTTATTAGCTGACGTTTCTTTATAAGTTGGTCACCATTGCAAAATTGCTTCATGTTTCCAACAAATTCTTTTCCTTTAATTCTAGTAATGGTGTTGGTGACGCAGTTCCACCGTCCTATTCAGGTCTCATTAAGTCCATTGACAGCAGGCAAACCACCGCGGCTGGTCCCTCGTATGAACAATACTCAATCCAGGCTCGTTAGTCTGAACTGTTCTTTCAGGTATGCGGGTCAGTATACAGGCATCTTTATTTACACTTCAAAAGCTGCTATATCACACAGACACTCAAAGCTTCCTGTCTACACTCTTGTCAAGTGGCAGTCATATGATGATTGATATTGATTGTGTTTTGTTCTAGATTTTTACCGAATTCTGGATGAACCACGATGTTTATAGAGAAGGCTCGCAGACGTTCATTCCTCTCGGCCAGGTATATCACTAACAAGATTTCATCGATGTTTGTTAGTTTTTTTTAACTCTATCTCGACAATCCTTATCGAACACACTCCTAAAAACTCACAAGTTGCAACAAGTCTGTAAACAGGTTGTTACAAGTCTGTTACATGCACTGGAGGCTTTCCGTCATTTCCTCGGTCCCCATGGTCCGGTGTGGAGTGTAGTTGAAAAACTCGACAGAGATTCTTTCCTTCGATATGAGTTTCAGAATATACAAATGAATTGAAGTACAAAGTACTAAGATGACGACGCCATTAGTTTTTCAGAACTTAGAAATATTTCAGAACTTAAACTGATTTATCAATCGAGCATGAAAATGCATGAAAATGCATGAAAAGCATGAAAATGCATGAAAATGCATGAAAATCACCACAATACAATACAATACAATACAATACAAACAATTTATTTTAACACGGAGGAATATTCAGTTAAAAAATACAACTGGTTTACAAAATTGCCGTGAGAGAGTCGTTATATATATAAGTAAGATAATCATTTGTAGCTTTCTTAAATTGAGGAAAGAGGGTTAAATTACGCATTTCATAATATCTATACCTATAGCATAAGCTACGTTTTAGATAGTTCGTTCGTGGTTTTGGTAAATTTAATTTAAATTGATTATTTCTAAAGTCATACTCAGAATTTCGAATAGAAAACAAGGTTTGTACTAATATGGAGGCATATTTCCTTTTAATATTTTAAAGATCAACTGAGACTTCAATTTTTTACGTCGTATATAGAGATTATCTAATTGCAAGCGATTTAAGAGAGCACAAGCGCTGGCATCATAACTTGACCTCGTTATGACTCGAACTGCTCGGTTTTGTAATTTTTGTAATTTTTTGCAAGTGTGTCCCCTAATTCATCCCAAACCGAGCAGCAGTAGTCAAATGTGGTTGTATTAAAGCGAAATAAAGCTGAACCACAGCTGAAAAGAGCGTGCTAAAATTAGTAGAAATGTAAAATTCGGTTGCGAAATATGTTTTAAAATGCGGAAATGCATTTGCAAGGTTTGCAAATTTGTATACTTCTTTACTACGCACGGAAATTGTTACCATTTTTTTCGCTGATAATTTCAACCCGCAACCAAATTTTGCATTTGTGCTTGTAGTAGTCTGACTTTAATGCAAAAGGTCTATTATTTCGAAGCCATTTTATGAAAATGTTAATACAGGGCTTTTATTATTGTGTTTCACTTAGGCCAAACTATTCAGTGCATCTATCTGAATTGCACCTAAGAATAGTCTAGAATAACCGCGATTCTGAGAGATTGGTAACAATTCCCTATATCTCCCTATAGCCACTGTTTAATCACGTGATTGTCTATTGACCTTGCATGCCGGAAAAGACCTATTGACCTATAATTAGCCTGGCAGGGTTTGTACACTGTGCTGAGAGGTAGTAAGGATCGTGCAAAAATAGCGCGCCGTAGCACAGGGAAATAGTGTTGTTGACAAAATCGAGGAAATGGCAAATAAACCTTTTGCTCGCACTCGCTCGAAATCAGATCCGAATCCAGATATCAACGAATACAAGAAGAGAAACAAAGAAATTGTGGCGATTAAACTTGGGAGGACCGAAGAGTACGAGCGGTTGAATATGCAATTTAAAGCGCTTGCTGAGAGAAATAGGAGACTTGAAGGCGAAAACCATGATTTGAAAATGCGTAACAATCAACTGGAGATGCAGCGAATATTGTTAGATAATGAAAAAAAGAGGATTGCTGAAGTTTTGAACGCTCAACTACACAAAATAGGTAAATGCCATGCTCATGCACAAATCTGTATTTTTTTAATACTTTTTACATTCTTGTGACGTAGACCGTAGCTCAAACGCGTTCCTATATATATATATATTGTCGAGTCTCTGCATGTCTACCGACGCTGTGAAAACGATATTCAGTTCTGAGTATTTAGCAAAGTGACAAAACGTTATGTTATTTTGTAGAAAACATTCTTCGTCAGTGAATTATATAGGCCACTAACAATACATCGACGCCGAAGTCGGTGATTAATGAGAACCAGGCTTATGTGCATGTGAAGTAGTGCTTAATAATGTATTTTCGTAAGTCAGGGATTTTACGTGCGGTAGAAAATACGAATTTGGGGGCGTACCGTAAATGATCGATTAAGCGCCGCGGCGCTTATTACAAACTCCGACTTGAAGACTACTTATGCTCGTTTTAGAGGTGGTTTATTTTCTTGTTATCTAACTCAGAAGTTGATAAATTACGCAAATGGTCCATTACAGGCACGAATTCTTCTGTCTTTCTAAGGCTCGGTTTACACTCAAATTTTTTGTGATCACAGTTGCAATTTTCAAACGTCATATCCTAAGTTTCAATTATTTGTTAAAAATATTCAAAGAAACTAAAACAGGGAACAGCTAGGGAACTTTAACACTCAGCTACTTCAATCGTGATACTCGCTGCAAAACATTTAGAACTTGGGATTTACCAATGAAAATTCTTAAATGAGAACACAGACAGTGTGAAAGAAAACCCGAGTATTATCTTATCGCTAGTATTGCAACTAACTGATTTCTCTGTTGCAGCCTCTTACGGGGGGTTCGAAAATGGAAACCTTGGTGAACGTGGTCTCACCCCCCTGCATCAGATTCAATTCATTCACCCGTACCATCCAGTTGATGAAATCTGGCAGGAGCAACAAGGAGGGGCAGCCCTCCCCCGGAATGGGAGGCAAACCTCGTTCGTTTACGGAGGGCGTGTAAAAGTCTATCATCATGAAGAGCTTTGAGTCTTTCTCTTTGGTTTTAAAGGACTTTTGGCTGACATAGTTACCTGATGTCCAATTTGGGGGAGAAAATCAACTCTTAGTTTTTCGTTTACAGAAAAATACCTTGTTGTTGTAATAACATAATTAACGTGATAATTAATCGAGGTTATGGTAGTTTATTAAGTACCACTTACGTATTTTAACATGCTTGTAAAATAAATAGATTAAGCTTAAAGCATATTAGGGCATATGTGTAACAAAGTTATGAATACTAATTAAGATTAGTTGTATCAAAGTTAATATACAAATTACTAATTCTATAACTTTATGGGGCATTACAGATGTATACATGCATGTGACTAAAATACTGCTTAATTATTCATGAATTTTCCAAGATAAGTAATTGACCCGCACCGAACTTTTGATATCCAGTAGCGATGTTGAATAGGCCAATCCTAATAATAATATTATACTAATAAAAAAACTTGATGTATCTTTTGCTAATCTTAATTATATCGAAATCCTATATATGGCAGACCTTTCTCGTGATGACGTCAAACGCGGAAACCTTATGTTACACGAAGTATGATTGGCTCGATCGTTTCGCGGATTCATTCAAACGTCGTGTCAGCCTTCCACGTTTGACGTCATTATAAGATAGCGGAAATAAATTAAACAAATTTCTTCACTCGTCATCACAATATTCGTATAATATACGCCGAAATGTCTTAGGCAGTTTATTGCTTTTATAATTACTTGAATTAGTTGCTTCTTTCAAAACGTTTTTCTCATTTACTGTGGTTTTCTTTCCTCGCTGAAATCAAAGCCCACTTGGGCGAAACTTTCTTAAATTCAAGCCATTTCAATGGGTTTCAATTTGCAAAGCCTGAAAATATATTCTGCCCACCACAGTGATGGTAAACACATGCATAAGACCCGTGAAAGACAAGTTCTTTTTTTGTTTCAGCCGATGTGAACCTGTATGTGAAGAAGTCAAACAAAGCATGTAAGTGTAGTTTACAAAGCCGTCATCGGTAGTTAACATTCTCCCACCGGGGAACATATACGGAGGTAATAATCTCCTGCCAGAAAATATACGGTAACCGATTTGTAGTTAACATTCCCCCACCGGGGAACATATACAGAGGAGCCTGAGGAGGTAATAATCTCGTGCCAGAAAACATATACGGTAATCTATCCGTGGGTAATTTTGTCTCAACGGGGAACATATACGGAAGAAGTAATAATCTCGTGCCAGAAAACATTTACGTTAATCTATCCGTGGGCAATTTTGTCCCACCGGAAAACATATACGGTGATCTATCGGTCGGCACTATTAACCGACCAGGTGATAGGCAGAATAGCTGCGCGGTGATGCCAGAGGAAATTTATGGACCAAATGTCAATACCCTAAGTGTACACAACTATCCCAGCAGTGTGACCTCAGAGAATCTTTACGGTACACATTTGTGATCATAATCTTCGATATTATTGATAACAATATTCCGAAATATTTTATATACTGTAACTAAAACTTGTAAACTCAAGATTCGATGAAAATAAAAATCACTTTTTCTAAACGAGCGATATCGATCAAAACTGATGAATACATTCGATATTATAGAATATAAAAGCATTTGAAATTAAGTGAAATAGTTTATATCACAAAAATCACTGTTCCACGACCTCCGCATCGCTTCGATATGCGATTCTTCTCACTAAATTGCGTCAGTGTCTAAGTGCAGAACAAAGACCAACAAAGACCGGCTAGACAAGTTATAATTTTAGGTAATAACTCCTAATTACAGTTAAAAGTGCGTCTGCAGTGTTGAAGGTAGTTCGATGGATAAAATAAGAACACAATATACATATATAGGCAAATATATTTTATCAAGGGCATTGCTTGTGTAGTTTTTTGGCTGGAGAGTAGACATGAGGGTTATTCGTGACTATTAGTGTTCATCTACCAAATGATGTATACAGAAACTATATTCGGTAATCAGTATATATTATATGCCAGTGCACAGAAATACAATTTTTCCTTGAATGTGTAACCTATTATCTCGAACACATAACCATATAACATATCATCTATGTCGAGAGAGTTACAATATAGACCCTTCAAACGCGGGAAGTCTAACTGCATGATATTATCATTATTATGGAGACTCTCATTACACTGTTGCCGGTCAATCAAACTTCGAGGAGAAAATGTACTGAGTCATTACTGACTTTCCACAATCACTCGTTTCCATGACAAGGGGAAGAATGCATTTTAGGCAGTTTCGGATCAATATCATAGAAGTTTAAGCCACATACAAGGATGAAGTGATCCAACAATCCTGATGAAAAGTTAGTCTGTGGATCGACAGAGGTCTTCGAAAAAATGACAGGTTGCGTTTATAAGAAAAGATTTGAAGCATTGAAGTTCTTGTTTGACGAGCTAAATGCAGAAAACAGACAACTTAAAGACGAAAACATTGATTTAAAAGTGTGTGTTGGCCGTTTACACGAGCGGAAGACGTTTTTAGAAAATGAAATCATGAGATTGGCTGGAGTTTTGCAAGCTCAGAAAAGTGCAATAGGTAACGTACTACTTTTTTACCATTAAACTGAAGTAGAAAAACATAGCTGCGAGGTTTGAGCAAAGGTATGGATCATCATTTTTGATGATTATTGGATGTTTCCCAAAGAGGCTTTTTGTGACGCAAAGGTGACATGCGTATCGAGCCTAACTCCATTTTATTTCTCAAAAACATTGGATTGAAAATCCTTTACCAGCAGACCGTTCAGTGAAATATAAACAAAACAAACTCCAAATAACATCATCTTGTGAACTCAAGATTGGAGTAATTAAAGACAGAAGACAAAACGCTAAATTCTGGAATCTTCCAAAGTGATTGTGAAACCACTCAACTGTTTTCAAGTGTGCTTTTATCTAATCAAGATCTGAGCACACTTGTAAATAGCTAATTGTTGCGAAAATTACCTTGGAAGTTGGGAACAAAATTAAGTTGATATATCGCCCGATATGCGCTGCACGTGATGTACAATCTATTAAATGCACTCACGGCCGTGTCGTCTAGGCTTCAGCGCCGCAAAAACGGTTTGATCTTTACTCCGTGTACTGCTTTAAAAATAGATATCTTACAACTGTAACTTCGAATAATTGCAACCATATCCATGTCAAAACTACTTGATTGCAATATTTGCTGGGCCTCTAGACCGGGACACTGAGACGCATACCATTTCAATTACGCTTATTTTAAAATACTTCGACTATTTTAAAATAATCGCAGTGCGATTGTGTGAATTCTATTTCAAACAAAAAACTTAGACGAACTTCGATATTTGTTACAGCTTCTTCGTCGCTGCGTAGGCTTAATGACGCAAGCAGACAGACACGGCTGGAAGAACAACTTGAAGCATTGAGATGTCAGTTGCTTTTTTACAAGGGGAACTTTGAAAGGGAAAGAAAATCTTGCGAAGAATTAAGAAAAGAGATGAAAATGTGTGAAAAGAAACTTAAAGATGCCGAGAAAGATATCAAAAGTTTGACCTCACAACTTGTTGCAGAAAGAGAAGGGGAAATCCAACGTGGATTCCCTGGTAACCATGGGCGTGCTTCTACTTCCGAAGATAATGTTCGATTCATTCAACCATGCCATCCTGATGATGAACTTTGGCTGTTGGAACAACACTGAGATTCACCTCCTCCGGAATTAAGAGCCATTGAAGGTGTTTTTTGAAGGGGGGGGGGGAATAGATGTCTGTGACGAACTGGCTTTGAGTTTTTGTCTTATAATAGATATGTTTAAAATTTGCATAGTTTTAGATTTTTTTATCTTTTTGTGGTATTCTTCATATTGTTCGTACTTCGCGTAACCATTGGGCATCCTGCTGCCCCATCAAAATAAAAATCACTCTTACCCAAATAACATTTCAGAACTAATAAAGTAATAAATCACTTTGGTTAATATTTTGTTGCAAAATTGTATTCATGTAAGTGTCCATGGGCGGTAAAATCGACGGTAAAACGTGAAAGGACCTGGGCCCGACATTCAAAATGGTGGTGTTTTCAAATAGGAAATATAACATCGACTGTTTATTTTATACTTTTTCTTTGTATTGTTTAAATTTTCGATGCAAGAACCACTAAACGCTTCCTGAAGTGTTCATCTTCAATTTAAATATGATTCGAAATCGTGTTGAAGATTTTAGCGCTCAAAAACAGATCCCAAGAGTTGGACAGGAAGCAATGTTCTTGGTATGAATATAGTAAACTACGATCTTTGATCACCGTTAATCGCGAATGTTGCGTAGTTTATTGGTGCGGTGATTTAAAGATTTTCTGCTTTCAGGATCAAATCCATATATCTTTGCAAAAACCTATTCCTGAACGATGCGAAGATGTCAGAAGAATGATACAGGAATGGAATATCAAGGTATCAAATCATTCAAAATTTGACATTATGTCAAAATACTCCTGGTTTTTATTAATATAACGGCATCGAAGCAATCTGGCAAAGAGCAGTTCATTAAAATTTTACTTACAAATAATATGTTAATGTTGCTTGTAGGCACCCACCCCTCCCTTTGGAAAAGCCCTTGCGCTTTATAAGCCTGACCTATGAAAGCCACACCTATTTTAAGTACATTTCCTCGTATCTCCCCTTACCCATTTATCACCCCAAAGTAGCCCCTTATCATATATATGCCCTGTTCTTCAACTTTGCCGAAGACCTGTTCTATAAGTACTCCCCAAAGGCTTTCCCTCTCCTTCTTCAAACTGTAACAGCTTCGTATCTGAAGTTCTCCCTTATACAATACCCCCAGGCTAAAGTTCTCTGAGGTCCCTCCTTTATCATGGCTCCCACTTTGAACCTCCCCTTCAAAAAGAGAGTCTCTTTCTCTAAGCATCTCCTTCAATTTAGGCCCGGCAACCCCCTGACTATATACCATTGACCCTGAAAACTCCCCAATTAGGGCCTACACCCCTATGGGGTCTCTAAGCCCTGGGGGAAATATGATACAGTACAGTATCTTAGGTATGATATTTTTATTCTTTAGGATCTCCATGTATTATACCCCCATCTTCTTGCAAGTATTTTCAGCGTGACTCCAGGGAAAGGCTGGGCTCTACACACCCCACACTCCAGATAACTGGAGGCTTTCCGTCATTTCCTCGGTCCCCATGGTCCGGTGTGGAGTCTAGTTGAAAAACTCGACAGAGATTCTTTCCTTCGATATGAGTTTCCTGTGATATGCTTGCCAGTAAGTTGAAAGTGTTTTTCAAATCAAGAGTAATTCTCAAGTAGGACCAGTTTTGACAAAGCTTTGAATGAGCTATATGTCACCTTTAGGAATTCACAACACAAGTACCATATTTTATCAGCTGTAAATATTAGGAATATAAACAAAAAATACATTGTAGGTTAGACATTGGGTGCTTTCTTTATACGGAATAAACGGCCAGACCGGTTCTGTTGTATTTCTGTACTGGTATTTTAGAGTGTTTCAAGAACTCTGCATTCACATATATCGTTATTTACATCTGCCTAGCACAGAAAATGCAGTTTCACAACTATATTCTTAACGAAATACTTTATTTCAATTCAACATATGACTGATTTGACCATTTTGACCGCTTAAAGGAAAGGCCCAAATTGGTTCTGTTTTTGTTTACGAATTTTCCCTGTCAGCCTCGTTCGGTATCAGAAAGACGTAACATCCTTTTGTCTACATGCAGGGTACATAAATCGCAAATGTTTAAGCACTATTTCTGCAGGATAAAAAAAAATGTAATCTAAGATTAGCATGCGAGATTGGAGCCCGACCTTTCGACGTATAAACGGTATAAGTGCATTTGTTCTTGTCTTCAGTAAGTTTGAGGAAAGTACGGAGCAGAACATAAACGTATGTTTTGTTTTGTGATTACTTTATATAGAAACCAACTCAGCGTCTGTTTACTGAAGGAATCATTTCAACAATGTATTATAACAAAGTCCAGTTTAACAATGACAGCAGAACATCATTAGTTTTAAGCACAGGTATATAGCGCCATCAGCAAATCTTGTTGTTGGGTTTTAAAAAAGAGTGTAATTTATCGCTTGTTGCTTCTGGACTTCGCGAAAAATGCGACTTAAGACCACACGGACAGACTGGACGCGATGCGAATTTTCAACTTTTTTTTTCCCAAAAGCAAATAAATTTTGAATATTTATAATATTTTTGGAGATTACTTAACAATAATGCATTTTGACTGCTCTGGCGTCCATAGATTCAAATTTTGATCCCAGAATTTAATTTTTATGCTTCTGCATGAAAACTCAAAATTCGCGTCGCGTTGCCGCATCGCGTCCGGTCGACCTTTAGCTAAGATCGAAGAAGATCAATATCAAAGCTTATTCACGCAATTCTAATTAACCTTACATAATCACCGCTTTAGTTACTTTTTTGACCTGGGCTAATTATTTGTAAAACTGACAGATTTTTCCAATCCACAAAATATTATTACCCCATACACCTATATCAGGAAGGAAATCGTATCGGAAATCGCCCAAAAAAATGCAAGTAAAAAGGTCATTCCAATCATTTATGGAATGATATATAACAGAATCGTTGCTTTCTCCAATTCTCTTGAATTTATCTAAGTATACATCAGATTTACATCTAGTATTATACGTACGAATATCTTTATTCAGTAGAAACTTTGAATCTAAATCGATTAAGTTATTCATAACACATCTATGGAACTTGCGTCTTTGGTCGAGTTTCATTAACCCCAAGGTTTGTTTTGCTTTTGCTTCCGCCGAAGAAGAATCATAAGGTCAATCAAGTTCAAGAATTGCTTTAGCGGCTTAGTTCTGAACAATCTGCAACGTGTTCATTAATACAGTATTGTTCTTATCACCCCGCACAAAGTCTCCATAAACAAGAACACTTAGAACAGGCAATATCAAGGCATTGTACAAGGTTATTCGAGCTTGATGTGGTAACAAAAAAATGTTTTAACAAATTTCCGCCAACGGTTAAACACATTTTATTCTAAACAGATTTAAAACTGAAGGTCTTGCAACGCTATTTTTCTTTCATAGGTGCTGTGGAATATTTTCTCTATCAGTTTGCATATTTCATAACGCAAAGTAGCTCACCTTGGGTGAGTTCACTGTCATGCTTGGAATAGTTCTTATGCTTTTAAATGCGAGTTTCGTTAACTCTCATTGAAGAGTTTGAAATCAGTGTTTCTTTACTTCTTTACAGGACAGCACCAGAGCGGCTGACCGAAGCCATGACACAATCTACACGGCTTTGTTCTCAGAATTCTTGGAGTATTTTCTTCCATCGCAAACCATGACATTACCAGCACATTCGTCTGGAAACAGGCACAGCAGCAGCCGAAATTGACGCCAAGGAAGTACTTGTAAGTGATCTGTGAACTTACAGTGTGATTAGAATGTACACATGAATCGTAGACTCGTAGTACAAAGTGCATAGATGACGACGCTATTAGTTTTTCAGAACTAAAGAAATATTTCAGAACTTAAATCTATCAAAATATAGACCATAGACCTTTTGCATTATCGACTATTTTCTGCTTGTAGTAGTCTTACTAGCCTTAAAATGTAAGACAAATGTCGCTTCGCGCGAAAAATATCGCTAGTGGAAGACCTGCTTAATGCAAAAGTTCTATTATTTCGAAGCCGTTATAATACAGGGCTTTTATGATTGTGTTTCACCTGGCCAAACCATTCAGTGCATCTAACTGAATTATTCGTAGGTATCTTGAACAGCGTGATCTCTCAGAGAATGGTAATACATATTCATTAAGGGTTTTCCCTAGAGCTTCCACTCATTACGTAAGGTGTAGGAAGAAGACGGGAGAAAAGTGTGCTATAATTAACCTACCATAGCATAGCATAGCAAAGCAATATAGTGTTATGACAAAGCAGCGCGAGTGAAATGGCAAATAAGGCAGCTGCTTGCTCTCGCTCGAAATCAGATCGAAATCTAGATAACAGCAAATACAAGAAAAGATACGAAGAGTTGGTGGAGATTAACCATGGCTGGAAACAACAATACGAACGGTTGAAAATGCAATGTGAAGCGCTTTTGGATGAGAAAAATAGAGAAACCGAAGGCGAAAACTGTGATTTAAAAATACGTAACAATCAACTAGAGTTGCAAGGAATATCATTGGAAATGAGAAAAAAGGAGACAGTTGAAGCTTTGAAAGCTCAACAACAACAACAACACAAAAAGGTAAATGCCGAACTCGTTTGAATTTTTTGTTTTATTTTTAGCCTTGCTTCTCGTAAGTCAGATGCTTTAAAAGCATCGTATCCCAAACACCCAGCAATCCTGGTCAAAACATTGACGACACTCTGTGTTAATTCACACTACAAGATTGCAGCTACATAAATGATTTTACCAGACGTTTTTTATTCCCCATACAGTTTCCATACTCGATAATACTGATCTTATGCGCCGAACCTGATGTTGAAGAGCTAAAGTCTCTGTTATGTTCATTTGCATTAAATTCGGCACATGAAAAGTTGAAACGGCCTGACGTCTGAGATTGGCTTATGAATGATCTTCACAATCATACGGAGCCTATTTCAAATGCCACAAATGCTGGCCTAAATTATATTTGCTGGTAGAAATACTGTAGGTCGCATTCAGGTATTCAGCACATGGTTGATTATTTTTCTACTTCGTTGAATGGTTAATTGTTTTTCTACTTTCGATTCCAAGAAATGATGGAATGCGAAATATTCATGGAATGCACCAATTGATTTTTAGCAGTGAATATTAAAAAAGCAGCCCACTGACACTCTAAAAAGTCTCTATATTTTCCGCTGGCCATGATTTGTAATGAGAATCGGTTTAGCGTAAAACTGCTGATGTCATTTGCGGACTGCTGTAATTTGACATTTTCAGCATGTAACGTTTCAATTATAAACCCTATCAACTGAAGCTGATTTCATCTTAAGAATGGCCTAGCATTTCGCAACATATAGGCACGTATTTGTTTGGCTGGCCTGGCTTACGAGGCTGTATGGAAATATGAACAGTCAACAAGATATATATAGGACACTACACGGTGGTGAGTAAATATGGACTTTACGCTCTCGTGTCAAAAAACAATATCTCACTCGTTCGCTGCGCTCACTCGTGATATATTGTTTTTACCACTCGAATATAAAATCCATATTTAATACCACCGTATAGTATCCTATATATATCTTGTTGACTGTTCATATTATCCATACAGCCTCGTAAGCCAGGCCAGCCAAACAAATACGTGCCTATATGTTGCGAAATGCTAGGCCATTCTTAAGATGAAATCAGCTTCAGTTGATAGGGTTTATAATTGAAACGTTACATGCTGAAAATGTCAAATTACAGCAGTCCGCAAATGACATCAGCAGTTTTACGCTAAACCGATTCTCATTACAAATCATGGCCAGCGGAAAATATAGAGACTTTTTAGAGTGTCAGTGGGCTGCTTTTTTTAATATTCACTGCTAAAAATCAATTGGTGCATTCCATGAATATTTCGCATTCCATCATTTCTTGGAATCGAAAGTAGAAAAACAATTAACCATTCAACGAAGTAGAAAAATAATCAACCATGTGCTGAATACCTGAATGCGACCTACAGTATTTCTACCAGCAAATATAATTTAGGCCAGCATTTGTGGCATTTGAAATAGGCTCCGTATGATTGTGAAGATCATTCATAAGCCAATCTCAGACGTCAGGCCGTTTCAACTTTTCATGTGCCGAATTTAATGCAAATGAACATAACAGAGACTTTAGCTCTTCAACATCAGGTTCGGCGCATAAGATCAGTATTATCGAGTATGGAAACTGTATGGGGAATAAAAAACGTCTGGTAAAATCATTTATGTAGCTGCAATCTTGTAGTGTGAATTAACACAGAGTGTCGTCAATGTTTTGACCAGGATTGCTGGTGTGGTGTTGGGATACGATGCTTTTAAAGCATCTGACTTACGAGAAGCAAGGCTAAAAATAAAAAAAAAAATTCAAACGAGTTCGGCATTTACCTTTTGTTGTTGTTGTTGTTGTTGAGCTTTCAAAGCTTCAACTGTCTCCTTTTTCTCATTTTCCAATGATATTCCTTGCAACTCTAGTTGATTGTTACGTATTTTTAAATCACAGTTTTCGCCTTCGGTTTCTCTATTTTTCTCATCCAAAAGCGCTTCACATTGCATTTTCAACCGTTCGTATTGTTGTTTCCAGCCATGGTTAATCTCCACCAACTCTTCGTATCTTTTCTTGTATTTGCTGTTATCTAGATTTCGATCTGATTTCGGCGAGAGCAAGCAGCTGCCTTATTTGCCATTTCACTCGCGCTGCTTTGTCATAACACTATATTGCTTTGCTATGCTTATGCTATGGTAGGTTAATTATAGCACACTTTTTCTCCCGTCTTCTTCCTACACCTTACGTAATGAGTGGAAGCTCTAGGGAAAACCCTTAATGAATATGTATTACCATTCTCTGAGAGATCACGCTGTTCAAGATACCTACGAATAATTCAGTTAGATGCACTGAATGGTTTGGCCAGGTGAAACACAATCATAAAAGCCTGTATTATAACGGCTTCGAAATAATAGAACTTTTGCATTAAGCAGGTCTTCCACTAGCGATATTTTTCGCGCGAAGCGACATTTGTCTTTACATTTTAAGGCTAGTAAGACTACTACAAGCAGAAAATAGTCGATAATGCAAAAGGTCTATGGTCTATATTTTGATAGATTTAAGTTCTGAAATATTTCTTAGTTCTGAAAAACTAATAGCGTCGTCATCTATGCACTTTGTACTACGAGTCTACGATTCATGTGTACATTCTAATCACACTGTAAGTTCACAGATCACTTACAAGTACTTCCTTGGCGTCAATTTCGGCTGCTGCTGTGCTCTGTTTCCAGACGAATGTGCTGGTAATGTCATGGTTTGCGATGGAAGAAAATACTCCAAGAATTCTGAGAACAAAGCCGTGTAGATTGTGTCATGGCTTCGGTCAGCCGCTCTGGTGCTGTCCTGTAAAGAAGTAAAGAAACACTGATTTCAAACTCTTCAATGAGAGTTAACGAAACTCGCATTTAAAAGCATAAGAACTATTCCAAGCATGACAGTGAACTCACCCAAGGTGAGCTACTTTGCGTTATGAAATATGCAAACTGATAGAGAAAATATTCCACAGCACCTATGAAAAGAAAAAATAGCGTTGCAAGACCTTCAGTTTTAAATCTGTTTAGAATAAAATGTGTTTAACCGTTGGCGGAAATTTGTTAAAACATTTTTTTTGTTACCACATCAAGCTCGAATAACCTTGTACAATGCCTTGATATTGCCTGTTCTAAGTGTTCTTGTTTATGGAGACTTTGTGCGGGGTGATAAGAACAATACTGTATTAATGAACACGTTGCAGATTGTTCAGAACTAAGCCGCTAAAGCAATTCTTGAACTTGATTGACCTTATGATTCTTCTTCGGCGGAAGCAAAAGCAAAACAAACCTTGGGGTTAATGAAACTCGACCAAAGACGCAAGTTCCATAGATGTGTTATGAATAACTTAATCGATTTAGATTCAAAGTTTCTACTGAATAAAGATATTCGTACGTATAATACTAGATGTAAATCTGATGTATACTTAGATAAATTCAAGAGGAATTGGAGAAAGCAACGATTCTGTTATATATCATTCCATAAATGATTGGAATGACCTTTTTACTTGCATTTTTTTGGGCGATTTCCGATACGATTTCCTTCCTCTGATATAGGTGTATGGGGTAATAATATTTTGTGGATTGGAAAAATCTGTCAGTTTTACAAATAATTAGCCCAGGTCAAAAAAGTAACTAAAGCGGTGATTATGTAAGGTTAATTAGAATTGCGTGAATAAGCTTTGATATTGATCTTCTTCGATCTTAGCTAAAGGTCGACCGGACGCGATGCGGCAACGCGACGCGAATTTTGAGTTTTCATGCAGAAGCATAAAAATTAAATTCTGGGATCAAAATTTTGAATCTATGGACGCCAGAGCAGTCAAAATGCATTATTGTTAAGTAATCTCCAAAAATATTATAAATATTCAAAATTTATTTGCTTTTGGGAAAAAAAAAGTTGAAAATTCGCATCGCGTCCAGTCTGTCCGTGTGGTCTTAAGTCGCATTTTTCGCGAAGTCCAGAAGCAACAAGCGATAAATTACACTCTTTTTTAAAACCCAACAACAAGATTTGCTGATGGCGCTATATACCTGTGCTTAAAACTAATGATGTTCTGCTGTCATTGTTAAACTGGACTTTGTTATAATACATTGTTGAAATGATTCCTTCAGTAAACAGACGCTGAGTTGGTTTCTATATAAAATAATCACAAAACAAAACATACGTTTATGTACTGCTCCGTACTTTCCTCAAACTTACTGTAGAGAAGAACAAATGCACCGTTTATACGTCGGAAAGGTCGGGCTCCAATCTCGCATGCTAATCTTAGATTACATTTTTTTTTATCCTGCAGAAATAGTGCTTAAACATTTGCGATTTATGTATCCTGCATGTAGACAAAAGGATGTTACGTCTTTCTGATACTGAACGAGGCTGACAGGGAAAATTCGTAAACAAAAAACAGAACCAATTTGGGCCTTTCCTTTAAGCGGTCAAAATGGTCAAATTGGTTATATGTTGAATTGAAATAAAGTATTTCGTTAAGAATATAGTTGTGAAACTGCATTTTCTGTGCTAGGCAAATGTAAATAACGATATACGTGAATGCAGAGTTCTTGAAACACTCTAAAATACCAGTACAGAAATACAACAGAACCGGTCTGGCCGTTTATTCCGTATTAAGAAAGCACGCAATGTCTAACCTACAATGTATTTTTTGTTTATATTCCTAATATTTGCAGCTGATAAAATACGGTACTTGTGTTGTGAATTGCCAAAGGTGACATATAGCTCATTCAAAGCTTTGTCAAAACTGGTCCTACTTGAAAATTAGTATTAATTTGAACAACCCATTCAACTTACTGGCAAGCATATCACAGGAAACTCATATCGAAGGAAAGAATCTCTGTCGAGTTTTTCAACCAGACTCCACACTGGACCATGGGGACCGAGGAAATGACGGAAAGCTTCCAGTGATCTGGAGTGTGGGGTGTGCAGAGCCCAGCCTTTCCCTGGAGTCACGCTGAAAATACTTGAAAGAAGATGAGGGTATAATACATGGAGATCCTAAAGAATAAAAATATCATACCTAAGATACTGTACTGTATCATATTTCCCCCGGGGCATAGAGACCCCATAGCGGTGTAGGCCCTAATTGGGGAGTTTTCAGGGTCAATGGTATATAGTCAGGGGGTCGCTGGGCCTAAATTGAAGGAGATGCTTAGAGAAAGAGACTCTCTTTTTGAAGGGGAGGTTCAAAGTGGGAGCCATGATAAAGGAGGGACCTCAGAGAACTTTAGAGTGGGGGCATTGTATAAGGGGGAGCTTCAGATATGAAGCTGTTATAGTTTGAACAAGGGGAGGGGAAGCCTTTGGCGAGTAATTATAGAAGAGGTCTTCAGCAGAGTTGAAGAACAGGGCATATATAAGATGAGGGGCTACTTTGGGGTGATAAGTGGGTAAGGGGAGATACGAGGAAGTGTACTTAAAATAGGTGTGGCTTTCATAGGTTGGGCTTATAAAGGGCGAGGGCTTTTCCAAAGGGGAGGGTTGGGTGCCTACAAGCAACATTAACATATTATTTGTAAGTAAAATTCTAATGAACTGCTCTTTGCCAGATTGCTTCGATGCCGTTATATTAATAAAAACCAGGATTATTTTGACATTTGAATGATCTGATACCTTGATATTCCATTCCTGTACCATTTTTCTGACATCTTCGCATCGTTCAGGAATAGGTTTTTGCAAAGATATATGGATTTGATCCTGAAAGTAGAAAATCTTTAAATCACCGTACTAATAAACTACACAACATTCGCGATTAATGGTGATCAAAGATCGTAGTTTACTTTATTAATCATACCAAGAACATTGCTTCCTGTCCAACTCTTGGGATCTGTTTTTGAGCGCTAAAATCTTCAACACGATTTCGAATCATATTTAAATTGAAGATGAACACTTCAGGAAGCGTTTAGTGGTTCTTGCATCGAAAATTTAAACAAGATACAAAGAAAAAGTATAAAATAAACAGTCGATGTTATATTTCCTATTTGAAAACACCACCATTTTGAATGTCGGGCCCAGGTCCTTTCACGTTTTACCGTCGATTTCACCCGCCCATGGACACTTACATGAATACAATTTTGCAACAAAATATTAACCAAAGTGATTTATTACTTTTATTAGTTCTGAAATGTTATTTGGGTAAGAGTGATTTTTATTTTGATGGGGCAGCAGGATGCCCAATGGTTACGCGAAGTACGAACAATATGAAGAATACCACAAAAAGATAAAAAAATCTAAAACTATGCAAATTTTAAACATATCTATTATGAGACAAAAACTCAAAGCCAGTTCGTCACAGACATCTATTCCCCCCCCCCTTTTAAAAAACACCTTCAATGGCTCTTAATTCCGGAGGAGGTGAATCTCAGTGTTGTTCCAACAGCCAAAGTTCATCATCAGGATGGCATGGTTGAATGAATCGAACATTATCTTCGGAAGTAGAAGCACGCCCATGGTTACCAGGGAATCCACGTTGGATTTCCCCTTCTCTTTCTGCAACAAGTTGTGAGGTCAAACTTTTGATATCTTTCTCGGCATCTTTAAGTTTCTTTTCACACATTTTCATCTCTTTTCTTAATTCTTCGCAAGATTTTCTTTCCCTTTCAAAGTTCCCCTTGTAAAAAAGCAACTGACATCTCAATGCTTCAAGTTGTTCTTCCAGCCGTGTCTGTCTGCTTGCGTCATTAAGCCTACGCAGCGACGAAGAAGCTGTAACAAATATCGAAGTTCGTCTAAGTTTTTTGTTTGAAATAGAATTCACACAATCGCACAGCGATTATTTTAAAATAGTCGAAGTATTTTAAAATAAGCGTAATTGAAATGGTATGCGTCTCAGTGTCCCGTTCTAGAGGCCCAGCAAATATTGCAATCAAGTAGTTTTGACATGGATATGGTTGCAATTATTCGAAGTTACAGTTGTAAGATATCTATTTTTAAAGCAGTACACGGAGTAAAGATCAAACCGTTTTTGCGGCGCTGAAGCCTAGACGACACGGCCGTGAGTGCATTTAATAGATTGTACATCACGTGCAGCGCATATCGGGCGATATATCAACTTAATTTTGTTCCCAACTTCCAAGGTAATTTTCGCAACAATTAGCTATTTACAAGTGTGCTCAGATCTTGATTAGATAAAAGCACACTTGAAAACAGTTGAGTGGTTTCACAATCACTTTGGAAGATTCCAGAATTTAGCGTTTTGCATGTCTTCTGTTTTTAACTACTCCAATCTTGAGTTTACAAGATGATGTTATTTGGAGTTTGTTTTGTTTATATTTCACTGAACGGTCTGCTGGTAAAGGATTTTCAATCCAATGTTTTTGAGAAATAAAATGGAGTTAGGCTCGATACGCATGTCACCTTTGCGTCACAAAAGCCTCTTTGGGAAACATCCAATAATCATCAAAAATGATGATCCATACCTTTGCTCAAACCTCGCAGCTATGTTTTTCTACTTCAGTTTAATGGTAAAAAAGTAGTACGTTACCTATTGCACTTTTCTGAGCTTCCAAAACTGCAGCCAATCTCATGATTTCATTTTCTAAAAACGTCTTCCGCTCGTGTAAACGGCCAACACATACTTTTAAATCAATGTTTTCGTCTTTAAGTTGTCTGTTTTCTGTATTTAGCTCGTCAAACAAGAACTTCAATGCTTCAAATCTTTTCTTATAAACGCAACCTGTCATTTTTTCGAAGACCTCTGTCGATCCACAGACTAACTTTTCATCAGGATTGTTGGATCACTTCATCCTTGTATGTGGCTTAAACTTCTATGATATTGATCCGAAACTGCCTAAAATGCATTCTTCTCCTTGTCATGGAAACGAGTGATTATTGAATGTCAGTAATGACTCAGTACATTTTCTCCTCGAAGTTTGATTGACAACAGTGTAATGAGAGTCTCATAATAATGATAATATCATGCAGTTAGACTTCCCGCGTTTGAAGGGTCTATATTGTAACTCTCTCGACATATATGAAGTTATATGGTTATGTGTTCGAGATAATAGGTTACACATTCAAGGAAAAATTGTATTTCTGTGCACTGGCATATAATATATACTGATTACCGAATATAGTTTCTGTATACATCATTTGGTAGACGAACACTAATAGTCACGAATAACCCTCATGTCTACTCTCCAGCCAAAAAACTACACAAGCAATGCCCTTGATAAAATATATTTGCCTATATATGTATATTGTGTTCTTATTTTATCCATCGATACTACCTTCAACACTGCAGACGCACTTTTAACTCTAATTAGGAGTTATTATCTCTAAAATTATAACTTGTCTAGCCGGTCTTTGTTGGTCTTTGTTCTGCACTTAGACACTGACGCAATTTAGTGAGAAGAATCGCATATCGAAGCGATGCGGAGGTCGTGGAACAGTGATTTTTTGTGATATAAACTATTTCACTTAATTTCAAATGCTTTATATTCTATAATATCGAATGTATTCATCAGTTTTGATCGATATCGCTCGTTTAGAAAAAGTGATTTTTATTTTCATCGAATCTTGAGTTTACAAGTTTTAGTTACAGTATATAAATATTTCGAATATTGTTATCAATAATATCGAAGATTATGATCACAAATGTGTACCGTAAAGATTCTCTGAGGTCACACTGCTGGGATAGTTGTGTACACTTAGGGTATTGACATTTGGTCCATAAATTTCCTCTGGCATCACCGCGCAGCTATTCTGCCTATCACCTGGTCGGTTAATAGTGCCGACCGATAGATCACCGTATATGTTTTCCGGTGGGACAAAATTGCCCACGGATAGATTAACGTAAATGTTTTCTGGCACGAGATTATTACTTCTTCCGTATATGTTCCCCGTTGAGACAAAATTACCCACGGATAGATTACCGTATATGTTTTCTGGCACGAGATTATTACCTCCTCAGGCTCCTCTGTATATGTTCCCCGGTGGGGGAATGTTAACTACAAATCGGTTACCGTATATTTTCTGGCAGGAGATTATTACCTCCGTATATGTTCCCCGGTGGGAGAATGTTAACTACCGATGACGGCTTGTAAACTACACTTACATGCTTTGTTTGACTTCTTCACATACAGGTTCACATCGGCTGAAACAAAAAAAGAACTTGTCTTTCACGGGTTTTATGCATGTGTTTATCATCACTGTGGTGGGCAGAATATATTTTCAGGCTTTGCAAATTGAAACCCATTGAAATGGCGAGAATTTAAGAAAGTTTTGCCCAAGTGGGCTTTGTTTTCAGCGAGGAAAGAAAACCACAGTAAATGAGAAAAACCTTTGATGAAAGAACTAATTCAAGTAATTATAAAAGCAATAACCTGCCTAACTAAGACATTTCGGTGTATATTATACGAATATTGTGATGACGAGTGAAGAAATTTGTTTAATTTATTTCCGCTATCTTATAATGACGTCAAACGTGGAAGGCTGACACGACGTTTGAATGAATCCGCGAAACGATCGAGCCCATCATACTTCGTGTAACATAAGGTTTCCGCGTTTGACGTCATCACGAGAAAGGTCTGCCATATTAGGATTTCGATATAATTAAGATTAGCAAAAGAAACATCATAGTTTTTTATTATTATAATATTATTATTAGGATTGGCCTATTCAACATCGCTACTGGATACCACGAGTTCGGTGCGGGTCAATTACTTCTCTTGGAAAATTTATGAATAATTAAGCAGTATTTTAGTCACATGCATGTATACATCTGGGGCCGGTTGTTCGAAAGGCGTTTAGCTTAAACGGTGGATAAGTTCAAAATTAAAAACAAAATGATCTATTTATTGAACAATTGAGCTCAACTATTTCGATGTAAATAGTTTAATTTTCAATGGAAGCACATATTAAATGCATAAGATACAGGTTCAGTCATTCACAAGATGTATGCTAAACGCCTTTCGAACAACCGGCCCCTGTAAAGCCGGTTTTCCACTAGCGATATTTTTCGCGCGAAGCGACTTTATTCCTTTGTATTCAAGCAATTTGTTCCAGATGGTTGCAGTTGAAAGCTCTGGAACAAAAGTAAAATGTCGCTTCGCGCGAAAAATATCGCTAGTGGAAAACCGGCTTAATACTCCATAAAGGTCTTATCAATTAGTAATTTGTATATTAACTTTGATACAACTAATCTTAATTAGCATTCATAACTTTGTTACACATATACCCTAATATGCTTTAAGCTTAATTTATTCATTTTACAAGCACGTTAAAATACGTAAGTGGTACTTAATAAACTACCATAACCTCGATTAATTATCACGTTAATTATGTTATTACAACAACAAAGTATTTTCCTGTAAACGAAAAACTAAAAGTTGATTTTCTCAATTTCTCCCCCAAGTTGGCCATCAGGTAACTATATCAACCAAAATCCTTTAAAACCAAAGAGAAAGACTCAAAGCTCTTCATGATGATAAACTTTTACACGCCCTCCGTAAAGGAACGACGTTTGCCTCCCATTCCGGGGGAGGGATGCCCCTCCTTGTTGCTCCAACTGCCAGATTTCATCAACTGGGTGGTACGGGTGAATGAATTGAATCTGATGCAGGGGGGTGAGACCACGTTCATCAAGGTTTCCTCTCTCGCTCCCCCCAGGATCATCTCTGGCGGCAGCAAGTTGTGAGGTCAACTTTTTTATTTCTTCCTCAGCATCCTGAAGTTTCTTCCCAGCCTTTACCATCTCTTTTCTTAATTCTTCGCAAGATTTTCTTTCTCTTTCAAAGTTCCCCTTGTAAAGAAGCAACTGGCATCTCAATGCTTCAAGTTGTTCTTCCAGCCGTGTCTGTCTGCTTGCGTCAATCACGGCATCAAGTTTCAAAGAAGCTGTAACAAAGAAATCGATTAGCTGCAATACTACATTAATTAATAGTGATAAGAACAATGGTCGGGTTCTCTTTTATGCCATTTAAAAATCATTTTTATTACATGGTTGGGGGTATTTTACCGAGAACTAAAACACTCGTAAAAGAGATCCTTAGATGGGTTATAATTAAAAAAATATTCGCTTAATGGTCGTTCGCGGCGTCTTACTTGTCGTCTTTGTGTGTACTTTTGTCACTCTGAATTTAGTCCATATAATGACTTTAGTCCATATAATTCGGCTGGCCTGGCTTACGAGGCTGTATGGAAAATATGAACAGTCAACAAGATATATATAGGACACTACACGGTGGTGAGTAAATATGGACTTTACGCTCTCGTGTCAAAAAACAATATCTCACTCGTTCGCTGCGCTCACTCGTGATATATTGTTTTTACCACTCGAATATAAAATCCATATTTAATCACCACCGTATAGTATCCTATATATATCTTGTTGACTGTTCATATTATCCATACAGCCTCGTAAGCCAGGCCAGCCAAACAAATACGTGCCTATATGTTGCGAAATGCTAGGCCATTCTTAAGATGAAATCAGCTTCAGTTGATAGGGTTTATAATTGAAACGTTACATGCTGAAAATGTCAAATTACAGCAGTCCGCAAATGACATCAGCAGTTTTACGCTAAACCGATTCTCATTACAAATCATGGCCAGCGGAAAATATAGAGACTTTTTAGAGTGTCAGTGGGCTGCTTTTTTTAATATTCACTGCTAAAAATCAATTGTTGCATTTCATGAATATTTCGCATTCCATCATTTCTTGGAATCGAAAGTAGAAAAACAATTAACCATTCAACGAAGTAGAAAAATAATCAACCATGTGCTGAATACCTGAATGCGACCTACAGTATTTCTACCAGCAAATATAATTTAGGCCAGCATTTGTGGCATTTGAAATAGGCTCCGTATGATTGTGAAGATCATTCATAAGCCAATCTCAGACGTCAGGCCGTTTCAACTTTTCATGTGCCGAATTTAATGCAAATGAACATAACAGAGACTTTAGCTCTTCAACATCAGGTTCGGCGCATAAGATCAGTATTATCGAGTATGGAAACTGTATGGGGAATAAAAAACGTCTGGTAAAATCATTTATGTAGCTGCAATCTTGTAGTGTGAATTAACACAGAGTGTCGTCAATGTTTTGACCAGGATTGCTGGGTGTTTGGGATACGATGCTTTTAAAGCATCTGACTTACGAGAAGCAAGGCTAAAAATAAAACAAAAAATTCAAACGAGTTCGGCATTTACCTTTTTGTTGTTGTTGTTGTTGTTGAGCTTTCAAAGCTTCAACTGTCTCCTTTTTCTCATTTTCCAATGATATTCCTTGCAACTCTAGTTGATTGTTACGTATTTTTAAATCACAGTTTTCGCCTTCGGTTTCTCTATTTTTCTCATCCAAAAGCGCTTCACATTGCATTTTCAACCGTTCGTATTGTTGTTTCCAGCCATGGTTAATCTCCACCAACTCTTCGTATCTTTTCTTGTATTTGCTGTTATCTAGATTTCGATCTGATTTCGAGCGAGAGCAAGCAGCTGCCTTATTTGCCATTTCACTCGCGCTGCTTTGTCATAACACTATATTGCTTTGCTATGCTATGCTATGGTAGGTTAATTATAGCACACTATTTTCTCCCGTCTTCTTCCTACACCTTACGTAATGAGTGGAAGCTCTAGGGAAAACCCTTAATGAATATGTATTACCATTCTCTGAGAGATCACGCTGTTCAAGATACCTACGAATAATTCAGTTAGATGCACTGAATGGTTTGGCCAGGTGAAACACAATCATAAAAGCCCTGTATTATAACGGCTTCGAAATAATAGAACTTTTGCATTAAGCAGGTCTTCCACTAGCGATATTTTTCGCGCGAAGCGACATTTGTCTTTACATTTTAAGGCTAGTAAGACTACTACAAGCAGAAAATAGTCGATAATGCAAAAGGTCTATGGTCTATATTTTGATAGATTTAAGTTCTGAAATATTTCTTAGTTCTGAAAAACTAATAGCGTCGTCATCTATGCACTTTGTACTACGAGTCTACGATTCATGTGTACATTCTAATCACACTGTAAGTTCACAGATCACTTACAAGTACTTCCTTGGCGTCAATTTCGGCTGCTGCTGTGCTCTGTTTCCAGACGAATGTGCTGGTAATGTCATGGTTTGCGATGGAAGAAAATACTCCAAGAATTCTGAGAACAAAGCCGTGTAGATTGTGTCATGGCTTCGGTCAGCCGCTCTGGTGCTGTCCTGTAAAGAAGTAAAGAAACACTGATTTCAAACTCTTCAATGAGAGTTAACGAAACTCGCATTTAAAAGCATAAGAACTATTCCAAGCATGACAATGAACTCACCCAAGGTGAGCTACTTTGCGTTATGAAATATGCAAACTGATAGAGAAAATATTCCACAGCACCTATGAAAGAAAAATAGCGTTGCAAGACCTTCAGTTTTAAATCTGTTTAGAATAAAATGTGTTTAACCGTTGGCGGAAATTTGTTAAAACATTTTTTTTGTTACCACATCAAGCTCGAATAACCTTGTACAATGCCTTGATATTGCCTGTTCTAAGTGTTCTTGTTTATGGAGACTTTGTGCGGGGTGATAAGAACAATACTGTATTAATGAACACGTTGCAGATTGTTCAGAACTAAGCCGCTAAAGCAATTCTTGAACTTGATTGACCTTATGATTCTTCTTCGGCGGAAGCAAAAGCAAAACAAACCTTGGGGTTAATGAAACTCGACCAAAGACGCAAGTTCCATAGATGTGTTATGAATAACTTAATCGATTTAGATTCAAAGTTTCTACTGAATAAAGATATTCGTACGTATAATACTAGATGCAAATCTGATGTACACTTAGATAAATTCAAGAAGAATTGGGGAAAGCAACGATTCTGTTATCATTCCATAAATGATTGGAATGACCTTTTTACTTGCATTTTTTTGAGCGATTTCCGATACGATTTCCTTTATAGGTGTATGGGGTAATAATATTTTGTGGATTGCAAAAAATCTGTCAGTTTTACAAATAATCAGCCCAGGTCAAAAAAGTAACTAAAGCGGTGATTATGTAAGGTTAATTAGAATTGCGTGAACAAGCTTTGATCTATTGATCTTCTTCGATCTTAGCTAAAGGTCGACCGGACGCGATGCGGCAACGCGACGCGAATTTTGAGTTTTCAGAAGCACATAAATTAAATCCTGGGATCAAAATTTGGAATCTATGGACGCCAGAGCAGTCAAAATGTATTATTGTTAAGTAATCTCCAAGAATATTATAAATATTTAAAATTTATTCGCTTTTGGAAAAAAAAAGTTCGCATCGCGTCCAGTCTGTCTGTGTGGCCTTAAGTCGCATTTTTCGCGAAGTTCAAAAGCAAAGAGCGATAAATTACACTCTTTTTTAAAACACAACAACAAGATTTGCTGATGGCGCTATATACCTGTGCTTAAAACTAATGATGTTCTGCTGTCATTGTTAAACTGGACTTTGTTATAATACATTGTTGGAATGATTCCTTCAGTAAACAGACGCTGAGTTGGTTTCTATATAAAATAATCACAAAACAAAAAACACGTTTATCCACTGCTCCGTATACTTTCCTCACACTTGACCGTTTGCCCAAATAGTTTCTTTTTTTATAAACCAACGATGATTAAAAATTTATTTACAATTATACTACGGACAGGGGCACTTAAACGTCGGAAAGGTTAGATTCCAATAGCACGCTAATCTTAGATTACGATTTTTTTATATATTCGGCAGATACACTACTTAAACAAACAAAAACAGGATCAATTGGGGGCTTTCCTTTAAACGGTAAAAATGGTCAAATTGGTCATATGTTGAATTGAAATAAGGTATGTCGTTAAGAATATAGTTGTGAAACTGCACTTTCTGTGCTAGGCAGATGTTAATAACGTTATACTTGAATGCAGATTTCTTCAAACAGCTAAAAATACCAGTATTCTGTCTGTACTGAAATACAACAGAACCGGTCTGACCGTTTGTCCGTATAAAGGAAAGCGCCCAATATTTTATATATTTTCTGCCAATTATATTCCTAATATTTGTAGATGATAAAACACAGCCTACTCGTGTTGTGAATTGTCTAAAATGACACATAGCTTTGTCAAAACACTTTAAGGCTTTGTCAAAACTGGTCCTACTTGAAAATTACTTTTGATTTGAAAAACCCTTTCAACTTACTGGCAAGCATATCACAGGGAACTCGTATCGAAGGAAAGAATCTCTGTCGAGTTTTTCAACCAGACTCCACACCGGACCATGGGGACCGAGGAAATGACGGAAAGCATCCAGTGATCTGGAGTGTGGGGTGTGTAGAGCCCAGCCTTTCCCTGGAGTCACACTGAAAATACTTGCAAGAAGATGGGGGTATAAAACATGGAGATCCTAAAGAATAAAAATGTCATATCTAAAATATGGTTCTGTATAATATTTCCCCCTGGGCATAGAGACCCCATTGAGGTCCTACATAAGGCTGTAGGTCCTAATTGGGGAGTTTTCAGGGTCAATGGTATATAGTCAGGGGGTTGCGGGCCCAAATTGAAGGAGATGTTTAGAGAAAGAGACTCTCTTTTTGGAGGGGAGGTTCAAAGTGGGAGCAATGATAAAGGAGGGACCTCAGAGCACTTTAGAGTGGGGGCATTGTATAAGAGGGAGCTTCAGATACAAAGCTGTTATAGTTTGAACAAGGGGAGGGGAAGCCTTTGGGGAGTACTTTGGGAAGCCTTTGGGAAAAAAACAGGGCATATATATGATAAGGGGCTACTTTGAGGTCATAAATGGGTAAGGGGAGATATGAGGAAGTGTACTTAAAATAGGTGTGGCTTTCATAGGTCGGGCTTATAAAGGGCAAGGGCTTTTCCAAAGGCGAGGGGTGGGTGCCTAGAAGCAACATTAACATATTATTTGTAAGTAAAATTTTAATGAACTGCTCTTTGCCAGATCGCTCCGGTGCCGTGATATTAATAAAAACCAGGAGTATTTTGACATTTAAATGATCTGATACCTTGATATTCCACTCCTGTATCATTCTTCTGACATCTTCGCATCGTTCAGGAATAGGTTTTTGCAAAGATATATGGATTTGATCCTGAAAGTAGAAAATCTTTAAATCACCGTACCAATAAACTACGCAACATTCGCGATTAACGGTGATCAAAGATCGTAGTTTACTATATTCATACCAAGAACATTGCTTCCTGTCCAACTCTTGGGATCTGTTTTTGAGCGCCAAAATCTTCAACACGATTTCGAATCATA